GTTTTAAAGAAAAACTAGTCTAATAGCCATTCATGGGCCGCATGATGGGGAGACGAGTCCTCTTTAAGGCCAGGTCCAAGCTCACTTCATATGAAGCCAGTCCACAAAACGTTTCACAGTCCACAAAACGTTTCACCCTCGACGAATTCAGAGGCGTAGCTACGTTGAACTTGCAAGAAAATGATTTTTTTTATATGTTTAATATTTTAATTTTTTTGGCCACGTATCAGCGCCCCACCACTTTTATTTCTCGGTTTTCTCCCGACTCCCCCTGTCCCCCAAATCCCAATATTTCGAAACGAAGCGCAGAGAATAGAAAAGGGGCCAAAAAAAAGCTAGGGCTTCGAGCCTTCGAGTCTCCGACGACCGCCCCCACTCTCCGAGACTCCGACGACCGCAAATCCCCTCTCCGAGACTCCGTCGGCGACCGCAAATCCCCTCTCCGAGAAGGCTTCGACAGTTCGACGATCGCAAATCCCCTCTCCGAAGACTCCGTCGACGACCGCGGACCGCCCCCACTCTCCGAGACTCCGACAGTCCGACGACCGCCCCCAGTCGCCTCCCAGAGCAAGCCCTCAACCAGTCGACGCCGATCCCAAGCTCTCCGACGAGTGACGACGACCGCCCTGAGTCCACGACCAAGTCCTCGCCGGAATCGACCTCCTCCTCGCCTCCCGGACTCAACATTGAGAAGTACGTTCTTGCAAGCCATTTGTGCGGGCCCTGCGGGGGACTATGGGGTAAAATTTTGGTAAGCCAAGTATTATACCACTCTCTTTTATAAAAGTCGGTTAATTCAATCTAAGCTCAAGCTATATATTAAAAAAAAATATTTTTGCAGGATCATGTGAATGATATTGACATTGTTTATTTGTTTATAATAGAGTATGCAAGGCAGAGGTTTCAACAATACTGGTTGAAGAAGTTTGATGCCCTGGATTGCACAACGTTTTAGGCTCGACCTCGACTGGTACGCCCTCCTCCAGCTCCCTCACCCTCATGTTAGTTCTATGACACTTCCTGTTAGTTCTGTGGTGTTTCCTGTTAGTTCTGTCTTCTTTTTAGTTAGTTCTGTATCTGTTAATTCTGTTGTTAATTCTATTTATGCCTGTTAGTTCTTTTAATATCCTAATAACAATCTATTAATTTTTCAAGCTAAAATGCCTGTTTCGACTGCAAGCACGGAACGAGCATTTTCAGCAATGAAACTCATAAAAACATCATTGCGCAACAAGATGGGTGATGAAATGCTTGCTAATAACATGATACTTTATATTGAAAAAGAAATTACTTCCAGCCTCGACACAGAAGAAATAGTAGAGGAGTTTGATTCACGACATACTCGTAGAGCTCGACTTAGATAGATACTTTTGTTTAATTTTTGTATCTCATATTTTGAATGTGTATGATACAACTTTGTCTTTTTTATCAATATCTAATCAAAGCACTCTTAGTTTGTTTAATTTTTTTTGCTTTGGAGAATTTTCGCCCAGGGCAAACAAAATTCCTGGCTACGCCACTGTCGACGATCTTCTCTTTCCCAAAACCACCTCACCCCTCACGATGCCGATCTTCTTCCTCCTCGCTACAATATCCACGTCCCTTGCCCTAATCTTTGCCTCTCTCTCGACGTCGGTGATCATATCGAGGAGGCGGAGGAGGAGGAGATCCGTCGGATTCTTCCATCCGTACACCAACGACGGCGGCGGAGGGGAGAGGGTCCTTTGGTGCGCGGTTAGGGCAGTTCAAGAGGAGGATCCCGATCTCGAGGTCTCGGTTTTCACCGGAGACGATGCCACGCCAGAGAGCTTGTCTTCTCGAGCCCTCGATCGATTTGGCGTCCAGCTTCTTCGCCCTCCTATGGTAATTCGATCTTCGCGTGTTTTTTTTAAACGTTTTTTTTTGCAGATTCAGATCTCACGAGTTCTAGTTTGTTCAGTCTTACAGGAAAGCTAGAATTTTAGGTAGAAATCTATGAAGTAATTTGTAATTTTCATATAATTCCAAATCCAATTTTCATTTGAATATTCTTTACCTATATATTGTAAAAAAGGCATACTTTTGACATATGTATTTTCAGGGTAAATTACAATAAACCCCAGGAGCTTTCAGTGTTTCGTAAACCCCTGTGAACTTTCAAAATCACGCTAAATCCCCAATAACTTTTGCTGAAAACTCCCATGAACTTTTTGGTAAATTACACTAAACCTCCATAAACTTTCAAGATGCCTGTTAAGTCGTTTTTTGGTTCTAATTTATGGGGGTTATCTCCAAAACTCAGAAAGTTCACAGGGGTTTTTTGCAACTCCAAAAAGTTCATGGTGGTTTAGTGTGATTTTGAAAGTTCATGGGGTTTTGCTACGAAACACTGAAAATTCATGGGGTTTAGTGTAGTTACCCTTAATCAACAAAATTTCAGATATTTTCGTTCTGTTTTCTAAATTGCTCTTATTTATCATCAAGTGGAATGATCTCTACTCAGTTTTTTACTGCCCCAGTAACAAAATTTAGGGGTTTTTGTCTTTAGACCCAAAGGCTTACCATGATTTATGTTTAAACTCAATTACTTTTCTTTGTACTAGATTGAATGCACGTGCATTGGTAGTTAAATATCATTTTTGGGGTCTATTTTCTTATATAACTCGGTTGTGAAATATTTCTTTTATTTCCATGTGAAGAAGTAAAATAATTTATTGTCTATACATCTATATAATTAATCAAAAGTGTTAAAATTACCATGACCAAAGTCAAAATTACATGATCAATTCGCATAAGCATGAAGGTCAAAATCCTTTTATGAAAAAATATAACTTTTATGCAAATAATTTTATTCTTACTGCAATCCCATGTTGTCATCTTATCATTTGCACAAATTTACATTATAATATTCTAATTTTTATACCCTACATTTAATAATCTAATAATTCTTCTTTAATGTGATGTCCCAGGAGGCTAATAGACTCTTAAGGAAAGATCACATACCAATAACCATGGATCTTAAATATGAGAAATTTTCCAAGATAATACATTTATATTTTATCTATTTATGTTCTGAATTGTCAAAATTAGAAAGCTATGAAATCACTGATTGATATATTTCTTGCTAGCATGTATCCTTTTCTTAGTAGAGTGACTTTTTGTTTTTTGAGGAATAAAAATGTTTTATAGCTAACTTTGACTATTTCACATAATTGGAGATATTCTCATGTCTTTAAATTATTAATATTATAATTAATGAGGATCATATTCCTCTTTATTTAAGTGTACTTCTCCATCCCATTTGATTACTCTTACAATTCAGAATTTTTTTAGCTTAACTGTCTTAGTTAGACCTTCTATCAGGACTCATCTCTATTTCTTAGTACCTAGTGGTTAGTGTTATTCTGATGGGATGTGGTTACTCTAATTCAAGTCTGTCAAAATAATTGTAAGTGGTCAAGGCTCTAGATTTTTGAAATGATATAATATTCAACATCTCATAATTAAAATATCATAAAAACTTAAACAATACCTTTGAGTAATTTTACTCAAACAATACCATAAAAACTTAAACAATATATTCAACATCTCATAATTAAAATATCATAAAAACTTAAACAATACCTTTGAGTAATTTTACTCACATAATTATTTTAATTAACATCCTATTGAACATGTTAAAGGCTCGCAATTGGTGAAGACTCTTAAATTTTTTGAAATTGGTGAAGACTCTTAAATATTTTGAAATGATACATATTGAACATCACATAATCAAAACATTAGAAAAACTTAAATGTGTGACTAAAACTAGTTTATACCTCTTTTCACGTGTCTACAAGGATAAATTGGAAAGACAAAATGTTTAAAACGGAATGCATTAAATTAGAATTTAGTTGTAAATTAAGAGTCCTTATTTGAGTAATTTTACACACAATAATTTTTAATTAACATACTTATTGAACATTTAAAAAGCCTAAAAATCCATGTTTTCACTTTTTAAACTGCCCATTTCCATTCATTAAAAAAATAAAAATAAAACCCCTTTTCCTCTGAGTTGGTTGCTTATAGTAAAATGTTAACCTTTCCTATTGATATAGTAAATTATTAAACAAACGATATATCTCATGTTAATGCTGATAACAATGCAAACAAAGTATAATATGTTAAAAGTTAAATATCAGAAAACTCCCTTCAACTTTGGATAATAATGAGATAACCCCGCATAACTTTAAAAATATTAGAAAATCCATTTAAGTTTAGGGGCAATCAGAAAACCCCTTTAACCTTGAGATTTTATCAGGAAACCTTGCTAAAGTGATATACTAGGGGGATTTTTTTGATAAAATCTCAAAGTTGATGGCGTTTTCTGATAAAATCTAAAATTTTTAAAAGGGTATTTGATAATCACCACTTAAGGGGATTTTTTGATATTATATTCAAAAATTATGGATTAATTTTAGAAAACCCCCTCTACTATTTCAATATGAGAAAGCCCCTTCAAGTTTAAGCATATTGTAGATAACCCTTCTTTACTATAAAAATTTGAGATAATAACCCTTCGAAATTTCCTCACTTAACCCCCCAAAATATAGGATGTGTAAGAAAACCCCCATCAACTATTTTACTCTGAAAAAATCCTACATGTTTGGGCTTATTATAGATAATCCACCTCAAGTTTGAAAATTTAAGAAATCTCTATGAACGCTTCTCAGTTTATGCCCCTGAAAGCTGACATTGTTACCCTAATAACTCAATAAGTTTTATATTTTCTCACTTAATCCCTAATATTTTTTTGTCAAAAGTCTGCAAACATGAGATGTTTATAACTTTGAGATTTTTTTTTCGGGTGTTTGTTAGTATTGAAATTTTCAAGAGGTTGATTGTAATTTTAGATTTTAAGGGGATTTGTTTCTAATTTTAGTTTTTTTGAGCTTTTTTTGTATTTTTATTTTTTTGGGTTTTTTCTTGTAATTTTCTTAAGGTTTCTTTGTAATTTTCTAAATTAAAGGGTATGTTTATAATTTTTAAGATTTTAGGGGGCTATCTGCAATTTAAAATTTTTCAGAATACGATATGTTGTATTTAATTTTTATTATATTTTTTTTGTAATTTTTATATTTTTCATATGTTTAAAATTTTGATTTTTTAGGGGGTTGTTTGTTTTTTTATATTTTAAGGGAGTTATTTATACTTTTTAGATTTTGAATAAATTATTTGTAATTTATAAAATTTATGTGGGCCATTTCTAATTTTAGAATGCTAAGAGTATTTTTTCATATTTTAGATTTTTCGAAGTCTTTTTTTGTAATTTCATGAAACCCTCAAAATTAACATATGGGTAAATTTCACCCAACCCCCAATAAGTTTACTAGTTGGAGCTAAATCTCAAATATCTTTAAAACTCTCATAAAACTCCTAATAACTTTCCAATAAGTTTACTAGTTGGAGCTAAATCTCAAATATCTTTAAAACTCTCATAAAACTCCTAATAACTTTTGGCTGAAAACCCACAAAGTTAACATCACTCAAATATCTTTAAAACTCTCATAAAACTCCTAATAACTTTTGGCTGAAAACCCACAAAGTTAACATCAGTAGTTCACTTGTAGTCAAATGATCAAAATACACCCAAATAACCCAATAAGTTTTACAATTTTTTTTCAATTAACCCCAAAAATTTTTGGCAAAAAAATGGATGTTTATAAATTTCAGATTTTTTATAGGTTTGTTTATAATTATTAGAATTTTCAAGAGGTTGATTATAATTTCTTGATTTTAATGGGGTTTGTTTCTAATTTCTAATTTTTCTAGGGATTTTTTATAACTTTTTATACTTTTTTGGGTTTTTTGTAATTTCTTCAGAGCTTCTTTGTAGTTTTCTAATTTAAAGGGTCTGTTTGTAATTTTTAAGATTTTTAGGGGGCTGTTTGCAATTTAAAAGTTTTAAGTTGCTATTTGTCATATTTTACTTTTTATGGGATTTTTTTGTAATTTTCATAATTTTCATGTATTTTTGAATTTTTTAGGAGTTGTTTGTAATTTAAAAATTTAAAGGGGTTTGTCTTTATTTTTTTGGATTTTTAAGAGGTTCTATGTAATTTATGAATTTTTTGTGGGTCATTCATAAGTTTAGAGTTTTAAGAGTAATTTTTTCAATTTTAAGATTTTCAAGGGTTTTTTTGTAGTTTTAGATTTTTATGGGGCTATATGTTTTCTTCAAAGGTTTATCCTGATTTGTTAGTGGGTTTTCTGTAATATTTAGAAATTTAATTGGGATTTTTTGTTGCTTTTAAAATTTTCTCTGTGTTATTTGTAATTTTAGATTTTTAGGTAGTTATTTGTAATTTTTCATATTTGTAGGGTTATCTATAAGTTTATGGGTTAACTTGCAAATAAGAATGATTTGAGGGGTATACACTACCTTGAGGGTTAATTTTAGCATATGTAAAATTTTGAGGTAACACCATTTTGTAGGTTAAGTGCAAAACATCAAAATGTTTTGAGCGTCTTCTGAAATTATCAAATTTACTGAGGATTTAGTGAGAATTGTAGATGTTTTGGGAGTTTAATGCTCAATTGAAAGTTATGAGAGGTTTATTGAAATATACTTTTTAAAATATTTAAGTTTTGGGAGTTTAATGCTCAATTGAAAGTTATGAGAGGTTTATTGAAATATACTTTTTAAAATATTTAAGGAGGGTCACATGACAATTTTTAAGAAAGTTATGAGAGGTTTATTGAAATATACTTTTTAAAATATTTAAGGAGGGTCACATGACAATTTTTAAATTTTTTTAATTGTGGATAATTACAGTTTATTTAGAACTAACAAAAAATGGTTATTGGAATTTTTTACTTTTTCATGGATGGAATTCTCTAATTGTGGATATGAACAATTTTAATTTAATGAGAATTCGTGGGAAGATAGGGTTTGGTTGGACACGTGTCATATTCTAATAGGATAGAGAATTAGTCTTTTCATATTAAATTTTGGTTAAAGATTTTACCTTTAAATTATTTGAATATATATTATTAATTAGGATAAGGTTAGAATATAAAATTCAAAAGGGTTAAGGGTAATATTGACCGAAAGTTTTTTTTTCAAATTTATTGTTAATTAGGATAAGATTGGAATATAAAATCCAAAATGGTTAAAGGTAATATAGAGAATGAAAAGTTTTTCTCGAACTTGTATTTTTATTAGGAGTATGATCGTTAGACCCAATCAACTATGCATATTTATCTTTAAACCCAAAAAATTCTCAAATTTGCTTCAAACTTATATGGCCTCCCTAAAAATTTTCATTAAATCCAATTTTACCCCTCTCTTTTTCTCATTTAATTCTCTCTCACATCCTCTCTCTTATTTCAATATTCAACTTTTATAAACCCATTAAATACGCATCAACTCTCTTAGTTCCTAAGGTTTAAATACTAAATTTTAGTCAGGGTTCATCTCTTTTTTGGTATTTTAAGGTTTAAATTCTTTCAATTCCTCAACTCCTATTTTTTAGCATAAATTTATGTAAGCTTTTGGTACAATTATAGCATTAATTTTTCTTTTTTTTATAACAATTATTCACATATTATTCACAATGTTTTCAAAGGCGCACGCCTCACCGCGCCTCATGCGCCTTACGATGCGGGGCGGTGGCGAAACGCCTCACTTCTGATGTAACAACGCTTTTTGTGCCTCGCGTACATCCTTACTTTGTGTAGGGTGCATGTAATACATATCCTCATATAGTTTTGTTTGTTAACATTTCAATCAAGTCTTTATACTTGATATTCCATATCCCAAAGAGCAAAATAAATCCATTAGGCCTTTTTAGTAGCCTTCAATTGAGGATCATTACTAATCATTTGCTTGATTATTAGTCTTGATGTAACATTTGATTTGAAAATTTATGAATTTTGCTACTATGTTGGGTGTTAGCATTAGAAATTAAAACATTATATTTTAATTTTGTAGTAAGATATTATTTATCATGATATTTTTCATGTGAATTCTAAAAACATGTTCTTTCGCGCTTGATTATATATTTTAAAAATTTATGTGGGCGGTGTGCGCCTTGCATCACTCGGGCGCGCGCATCGCGTTGCGCCTTGCGCATGTGCGCGTAAAGATGCTTTGCGCCCCGCATTGCGCGTCGCACATTGATAACACCGATTATTCATGATTCCTCATGATTGTTATTACAATTAATAAGAATTAATAATACTAAAAAATTCAAAAATTTTAATTTTAATTTCATAATTTTGATTTTAATTTCATATGAGACAGAGATTTGAGGAGATGTGGGTGTATTTTGTGGTTTTTACCTCCTAAAAATACAAATATAATATACCTTTATGTGTGAATTATGCTATTTGTGTTTAAATACAAAAAGAGAAAGTTGATTGGGTATAGATACAAATAAATTCAACTTGGGTTTAAACATAAATCGGGGTAAAACCTTGGGTGTAAAACAAAAAACCCAAAAATTTATCTCCCTTACGGTCAGCAATAGCGAAAAAGTCAAACTATTTATCCCCCTAGATGATCAGCAATTGTGAAAAGGTAAACTAGTTCATAATCTTATGAGCATCAACCTTGAAATAAAAAAAGCTTAAAGGTTTGACGTCTTTTTAAGTTAGTTCAGTTCTGATTCATAATTTGTATCAAATGCAGTTTATATGGTGTGTTTGTTTCCATGAGATTCTTAGAAATCCAAAGAAAAAGTGAGTCTCGTATCAAGTATTCTTTCCGAACGAAAATTCATAACTAAAACTTTGTCTTCGTTTCCCCCCCCCCCCCCAAAAAAAAAAAAAAAGAGAAAAAAGAAAAAAAAAAGTTAACTTGGGAAAAGTCACCATTTCTGGGTTAGAAATATTTTCTTTTCTCACGAATGTAGCGGATAAAGTGAAAAGTGATGCCCACATTCAACTTTTCACTCGAACAAAGTAAAAAAACAAGTATTTTCCCCTGGAAAACCCGAAAAAAGATGAAAATAAGTATCTATGTAACTATATTCAAAATAAACCATCTTGATAATGAGTTAGGTATGGATAACAGCGTTGAAGCTAAAATTACAGGAATAATAGGTATTTTGAAGGGAGACAGATCAGGAACGATTGACTTGTGTCACGTTCCTGCTACGAGTGATAGTTGTGTTTTACTAGAATAGTATAGAATATGCTGTCTACTTTGTAAATTAAATAGGAATATCTTAAGCTCAATTAGTTGCTTCTTAGAGGGTATTGCACCTCTTAAATTCTCGAGGGGAGGGAGAGAGAGAGAGGATGCATGTTTGATAAGTGCAATATTGTGTTTATGCGAGTGGGCTTATTGCAATTATGCCATGAATTTACAGGTTGTTCGGCTGTCCAAAAGGAAGTGGATTGAGGAGAAGGCCTATCCACACTTCACTATGATTGGACAAAGTATGGGTTCTGTTTACCTTTCATGGGAGGCTCTACGAAAATTTACACCTCAATTTTATTTTGACACCAGTGGCTATGCATTTACATATCCACTTGCCAGGATATTCGGATGCAAAGTAATTTGCTACACTCACTATCCTACAATCAGCTCTGATATGGTATCTCGCGTTCGACAGCGTAGTTCAATGTATAATAACGAGGCTCTGATTGCTAAAAGGTACGCTTCTGCAGTGATCCGAATTAATGATCAAATAGATTACTATTTATAGCTTATATATTATATAATGGGAATTGGTTGAGTGAGTATATTTCTTTATTAAACAGTCATTCATAACCTCCTCAATACGTGCTGCCGCTTGATAGAACTGGCAGGAATGTGCTTCCTATTGAGCATAAAGTTCTTGAAAAGTATCGACAACAAGGTTTCTCAAGTATCTGCAGGAATGTGCTTCCTATTGAGCATAAAGTTCTTGAAAAGTATCGACAACAAGGTTTCTCAAGTATCTGTAACTTTCTTCTACAGTTCTACATAATAAAAGCATCCTGTGTATTGATTCCTGTTTTCATCCTTTTCTGAACTGTTACTTGTGGCAAGTAAACATTACACGTTACAAGAATATCTATGTAGGCTAATCCAGTTTTATTTCTATGATGTTCAGTTGCTTCCTTCGCTTTATGAATTATACATTTTTGGTTTTGAGCGCAAAAGAACTGACAAATATGTTGTTCTGGAACAAAATCTAGCTTGTCGAGTTGCGGATTGAGATTTAGTATCGCTGTATCTAATACTTTTTCGGTGTCTTCATCTTTGTAGTGTTTAATCAGCATAACATCGTAAAGTTTAGAGTCCAAAGTTCAATTTTTTGTTCATCTAATTTCCATATTTTTAAGGATGATTTATGGGGTGTGAGCTGGCCCATTTGTAGCATATCAGGCTATACTTTGGCTTTAACGTACATACTGGAAGATGGATGAGGTTTGTTGACAACAGTTAACAACACAGGAAACATAAATCATTCATTGATCAAAATGTGAGTAGTTACTAGTCAGTGATGCCCTTAGAATGTTAAAAGATAAAAGAAGAAATTGATTTAGTCATTAGATATTAAAATGGTATTTGCATGATTACGAATCCTCCATGGAAGCTTAGGCGGAGGAGGGGATGACTGTAACAGATTGTTCCTATGATATGAACTAAAATGGCCTTTCCATCCTACCAAGAGTTGGAGGGTTCGTTAGTATTGAACAAGACATGTCCATCAATGTTTCATAGTCAGAAATCTATAAATATAAACCTTTCTTCACCTCATAATATACTGTATTCAATGAAGTACATTTTGCTCCTCCATAAATAATTTTTCTCTTTGTGGTTCTGTCATATATGAATAGAGTTATTATTGAACATGTGAATATATCATTGAATTTATACATATCTAGGAAGGTACACATATCTATCAATGGCCTCGTGCCTTGATTTAGAGGAAATCACATTAAACCCGAAGAACTTTCAACAATTTGCAGTAAAACCCAATAGCTTTCAAAATCGCACTAAAGCCCCCAATAACTTTTGGAATTGCAGAAAACCCACCTATAAGTTTCTGCGTTTTGCAGATAACCTCCATAATTATAACCCAAAAAAAGACATAAATGGCATTTTGAAAGTTATTGGGGTTTAGTGTAATTTACCCAAAGATATTGAGGGTTTTTGCAAAAGTTATTTGGGGTTTAGTACGATTTTGAAAGTTATTGGCAGTTCACTTCAAAGTGCTGAAAGTTCTTGGGTTTAGTATAATGTAACCCTTGATTTAGTTAGATTTCTTCATCCAGCACTGTACGTGTCAGAGCATGAAGCCATGACTATGTCTACAATTAATTGGATTGGATAAGTCCCTTCAAGCCCTATCCTTTCCCTCAATGACCAACTCCAACCCTCTCCCAAATTCTTGACAACATTACAGAGGGTCCTCCTTACAGTTGATGAATATGAAAAGTGATGGTTAATTGGATATAAATGATATTGACTTTATTCTTTTCCTCCCAATTTTCTTTTATGTCATTACCCCAAAAAAAAAGCTTTTAAATGCTTCAACAAAGTTCAATGGAAAGACTTTTTTGTCTGAACTCACCTTTGTATTCGTAGGGTATGTATGTTCTTGGACAAATTTTTGTGCATTGTGGGAAAAATGCTTTTTTACTTTTGCAGATGCTAACTTATTGCAATTCTTTTATTGACACAGTATTTGGCTATCCCGATGCAAGGTAATTTATTACACATTCTTTAGTTGGTTGTATGGTTTCGTGGGGTCGTATGCACATCTTGCAATGGTGAATTCTTCATGGACAAAATCCCATATTGAGAACTTATGGAAGATTCCTGATCGTACTAGGAGAGTTTACCCTCCATGTGATACATCATCTCTACAGGTATATTTGATTTCATTCCATATTTTTGACTTGTCTTCTTGAAATTCCAATCTAGTAGCTTTTCATGATAGAAATATTAGCTATAAATTTTATCACGTAGTTCCATTCTATTAAGACATTTAGCTCTATCTGTGTCATATATGTGGAGGATTTATAAATCACTTTCCTTGTATATGAAGTGTTTACTCTGTCCATAATCTTCTAGTTTCATGTCATAATAAAGAAAAAGTGCATGTGAAATCGATTCCTTTTAAATATTTTGAGCGCAATAAAAATAGAATTGACACGTACAGAAGTTTATATATCTGCGAGAAATATAACCTGGTTATATGAATGTATTTACTTTATATCGTAAGGTATTGGCGAAGATTCTGTCGTGTATACGTCTCTCTGCTGAAATATTCAAGGTAGCGACTCTCACAGATGCAGTTAGATAAAAAGACTAGAATGTGGGCAGCAGGTGGCAGACAGCAGAAGGATTAGAAGGGGAATGAGGACAAGGTTCAATGGGTAGTTTGGGCTAATCAAAACTAAAAATATAAGATTTTGGGGAAAATGTCCATTATGACTAGTTAGGGTTGTAAAAGGTTAGATTTGACTTCTAAAAGGCTTATAAAATCTTGTGCTGTAATGATTTCTCCCGAGCATGTGAAATTTGAGTATGGCTCCTTATTCAGCGCTTATAAAATCTTGTGCTGTAATGATTTCTCCCGAGCATGTGAAATTTGAGTATGGCTCCTTATTCAGGTTGATACAGTGGGTTTCAGCCTTTAGGAGTTGTGGGTGTAAAATTATTTTAAATTGGCTCCTTATTCAGGTTGATACAGTGGGTTTCAGCCTTTAGGAGTTGTGGGTGTAAAATTATTTTAAATTTTGATGGAGAGAGAAACTGAGGGATTTAGCCCTTAAAGATTGACCTTCAATAGGATTCCACTTCCATATATTTATCTAGATTGGAATTCACAGTATTTTGAATATCGGAGCAGTGGCATGTCTAGGTTGTTCAATTATTGCCATAGGAAGTGGTAACAAAATGATCTGAAAGTTTTCATCATCAACTACTATATATAAATGTAGCAGTTTATGAGTGGCTATTCTTTAATGGGATTGATAGCTCTGAAACAAAGTACACCAGAGAGGAAAGCCCTCATATTTTTAAGAAGAGTGCTCTGTTCACTCCCGAATGAAAAGAGCCAAAGAGGTTATAAAAATAATACAAACCTTCTTTGACTTCCAGCATTTTTGTTGGAATATTTATTTTAAATCCTTCCTATATATAAATCACCTGAAGACTTATAAACAATTCTAGGGACGCAGCGACTTTTTTAAAGCTGGTCATAACTAGAATATGAGGAGTTTCTATTACGGATGAGGGGAGAATGAAACAAGAATAGTGATTACTATTTGCGTCAGCAATTCTTTTAGCAATTTATTTCAATTTCTGCCTTCACAAGTAATAGATCACACATGCTATTTAGTTGGTTAGAAGTAAGAAAGAAGAACACTAGTTTACTGATAACAAGCCTGCTTCACCAATATCTGATTACAACAGCAATTATGACAAACTGCAGTAAGTGGTATATGAAAAAAGTATGAAGTCAAATGAAGGTTAAGCTACATAACCTGTAATTATTTGATTAACTGATTTTTATGACATTAGATGTGAAATAAAAGTACCAGGTTGCAACCATGAAGGTGTTGACTAGTTTTCAATGTCCAACCTAACCAAGGAATTGAACTGGGGATTCTATAGGTAAACATCTAATTAGAGATTGAGTTAGGGGTTTTAATATCTATGAGATATTGTTTTGTGTTTAAATGGTGCAACATGCTTAGTTGTTATGGATGCATTCTTTTTATAGGAATGCTTATGTACTTTGTGATTATGAATTTCGTCTCAATTATGAATTACATGCTTATGTGTTCCATGGTTTGGAATTTTATAGGTACTAGGGATTCATTTGATCTCATCTAGATATGAATTGCAATCGCATATTTTAAACGGGTTGGGGGGGTGGGGGTGGGGTGAATAGGGTGATTATGAATTTCATCTCGATTATGAATGACATGCTCATGTATTCCATGGTTATGCATTTTATAGATCCTAGGGATTCATTTGATCTCATCTAAATTATGAAGTGCAATATTATTTTATATATGCTTAATATAGTCGTCTCCTCATACCCTACATTTTACATATTTGTCATGTCTTGTACCCATACCTGTAACCGCACCTAAGATAGGATTACACAGTTTGGTTTCATGAGAGTGAAAGTAAAAGAAGCACACTTTTCAAGTATAAGCAAGCATGCCTTCGTTGTTGTTTCACTCAACCAATCAAACAATTTAGTTTGATTAGATGTATCTATCTTGAATTATCTTTCTAGTTTCTTCGACTAACCTAGCCTAACAATGATGCTAAAATATCTAGAATAGCAAATTTTCCTAAACAATGCGTGATTGTGTATTCATAATTGTGTATTCTGTTTCTCCCTCATTGTTGTAGCAATTAGATCCGATGTGTGTCAACTTCTACATTTAAAAGACCATGCTTATATGACTAGGCTTCACCAATGACCTTTCATCTTCCATCTACGTTATATTGAGCATCATGCCTTGTTTTGTTGTGTTTCAATATGAATATGTATTCATCAAATAGACCAACATGACTGTAGAAGTTTGTTACTTTTAGACTTGAGATGTGATTTAGTTGAAAGCTTGGAGGAAAGAATATTTACAAGGAAGGACAAGGACACACCATTTAGCCAAATAGGTTTCATGACAGACATATAGTCTTCAATGTTTAGTTGTCCTGAAATGTCTTCTAGTACAGGAATCCTCCAAACTATAATAACAAGACGTGGATATGTTTTATACTTTCTAGATGTCAGTACAACCATGTAAATACCCATGTATGCAATTTTTTTTTACTAAAATTACCAGATCAGAGTTTAACAAAACAATCTTACTCTTTTACCTGATACAATCTAGTCAACGATTTAAAAAGCGCTAGGAGGTTCTAGGCACTGGACGTAGCGGCTAGGTAGGCGCCTAAGTGGCACATAGGTTTTTTAGCACTGATAGAGGAAGGGTTTTTCTCAAAGATCAAAAATCCTATCCTCACCGTTTTATGTGAGATGAACTTAGATTGAGTTCTGATATAATCCATTTTAACCAAACCTGTCCTCTACATCCGTTGTTTTTCTTAAGGGGGCTATAAGCCCCATTTTAACGCGATGAGTCCATGTAAGTGGCCCATGTTTGCTTAGGCGCTCTCAACAATCAAGTGAACGGCCCAGTTACCTCTTAGGCTTAGGCTGGCACCTAGACCGTTTTGTTAAAACATTAATATCTCCAACGAAATCTGCAGATGTTACAGCAGAGTCATGATGTTTTTAAAGTTATTATTTTCAGTGTTATCGCTTTAAACTTTAAACTATCATTGTGAGCGTTCAAGAAGTGCCTGATAGACTAAAGAACCTAAAACTTGAAATGTCCTGGTAATACTTCAAAAACTGTTTTCAGTCTAGTCTTTCAGGTATCTAAGCCTAACTTTTCCTGTATGTCTTGGCATTTTGCCAATTTTTGGATCAGGTTGACAACACTACTGGTGAGTTTTACATCTAAAGTGTTTTAATCTTGAGTAATACAAATTAACATCTTTTCAAGAAATACATACATTTTACTCTTGTTGAATGACTTGAATCTGACTTTGTCATAATATGTCATTTCATCTCCTTAATTAAGATTTCTACTACCTTCTGAATTCCTTTGTTATAGGAACCTTCTGAATTTATATTTCTTTGACATTTAATGGGATATTTTTAGTTACTCACTGTTTCCAGTAATTTCTTTGAAAGTTGGTTATACTAACCAAGACCAGCTTCTACAAAGCTTTCTGTCTTATAAAGCTTGTGAATATGTATTTGGGTTTGCACATTATGAGTTTCATTTTCATAAAATCATCTGCTATGGAGATATCACTAACAAATTACTTTTATGTGTTCAATCAGGAGCTCCCATTGACAAGGCCAGCCGAGGTTCCTATATTTATATCTGTTGCCCAATTTCGGCCAGAAAAGGTTTGTTGCTTACAAGCAAGTAGTTACTGAGCGAATTGTTTCTTTAAAAATCATAGAGTGGAGTTTATCAGTCTAACTCATTGCTAACTTTTCCATCAGGCTCACACGCTTCAACTTGAGGCATTTTCACTTGCTGTCCAGAGACTTGACTCTGACTTGCCTAAACCTAAGCTCCAGTTTGTTGGTAGTTGTAGAAATAAGGAAGATCTCGAGAGGTTGCAAAACTTAAAAGATAAATCTAGGGAATTAAATATGGATGAGCATGTGGAATTCCACAAGGATGTAACGTACAGGTCAGCATGCATCACCATTGTTTTTGTCAATATTGAAATGCATTACTACTGTTATATTCAAATTTCACATCTCTGTCTTTAATAGTGTGAGCGAGTCATATGGCAAAGCAGATAGTCTTGGAAGATCTGTTACCCGAACCGTATATTCCTATGTTTTATTCAATGAAATGTTAATAAGTTCCCATTCTTCAGTTTCTTGAAGTAAATTCTTATGGAATAATGGCTTTGGTATATCAACTGTCTGTTTAATATGCCTAATAATTTCTTTAATAGAAGAAGAGCATGTGCATGTGCAATTTGGATGTACATTGGGTTGAATCATTGGAAGCTTAGCTCGAGGGAAGCATTGTTGAATTTGGCTTTAGCCTTTAAGGAATCTTCCAGTCTGTTTGTTAGTAGCACGTCTTCCTCAACCTAGGAATGAGTGAATCATCTATGAAGTAAAGGATCGGCACCAATGCCAATCAGTTGGGAAAATATGAAGTGAAGGATCGGCGCCAATGCCAATCAGTTGAGAAAATATCTATCTTGCTAGACTAGATTCTATATCCTTTAGCTGATAGCATCTTAAAGTGCAATTAAGCCTCCTGAACTATTGTTAAAGCCTTCATGGATAATAATTGGAGTGAATGAGGGAGGGGCTTATGCATGATGGTGACTTGAATCTTGAACACTAAATAAATGGTTAATTGGATTGGTATATATTATAATATTATATCCTAAATGAGTAATTTTGCTAAAAAAGACACATTCGTGCGATAAGGGTGCATTTTCAATATTACAGTCAGATGACAGGTTTCTAACTGTTGCCTGATTTTTGAAAAAAAAATTAAAATTAGTGATTTCTAAGGCATGTGTCTGGTTTGATGAAAAGTCACAAGTTACCTTGAAATTGTGATTTTGAAGATAATCTTTGGTTTGAGTAAAAATTTCAAATTTCATGATCGTCTCTTCGCATAATATGGTAATCTTCTTCTTGGGAAAATATGAATGATACTAAGAAAAATATAAAAAATCACTCAAGCTTGATCTTTTCTTTCTTTTTCTGTTTTTGTTTTTCTCTTCCTTTCACTGGGCATTTATACAAATACTGTGCTTATATTCTTGAAATAAATTGTTTATGGCAAGTTTACTCTTCACAGGGACTTGATACGACTTCTCGGAGGTGCTATTGCAGGCCTTCATTCCATGATTGATGAGCATTTTGGCATAAGTGTTGTAGAGTACATGGCAGCTGGTGCCATCCCAATCGGTGAGTGTGTGAGATTATATATGTTTCAAAAATAATTTAACTAAGAATTATTCTCGCACAACAGAAATATATCCACGTTTCTTAACGATTTTCGTTTCTGCTTCAGCCCATAATTCAGCTGGCCCCAGAATGGATATAGTTCTAGGTGAAGATGGATGCCAAACAGGATTTCTCGCTTCTAATAAAGAAGAATATGCTGATGCTATCCTAAAGGTTTTAAAGATGACAGAGGCAGAGAGGCTCACACTTGCTGCAGCTGCAAGAAAGCGAGCTCAGAGATTTTCGGAGCAGAAATTCTATGAGGATTTTAGAGCAGCAATTCACCCGCTCATCGCTAATCCAACAGCTTTTAGGTGAAGAAGAGAAAAGTGTACTTCCAAAGGGTTTTCCCCTCTGCAACAAGGCATGCTATGGTGCATGGCAGTTACCCTTTAAAATCTTATGATCGAAAGGGTTGTGATGCTAGTCAAGAGATGTGCAGTGGTGGAGATAAAACGATGCATGATAAAGCGACATGAATTCTAATTTACGGGGTCCTTATTTTTGTGAGCGCACAGTGCTGATCTTTCCCTCTTTATTTTATACCTGCTAGAGTGGAAAATTGTTGAATTCCGTATAAAGGGTATATACGGTTTTTTAACTCGTGCTGATGGTGAGGGGAAAGAAAACTGATATGTAGATACTTTTTACACAAAGAGAGAGAGATGTTACCCTCTGTTCGGGTCATTGAGTTCGTCAAAAAATATATAGCATGATAGTATGATAGTATGTACAGATAAGCGAAGGAGGAGCATGTAAGTCGAAACTATGATTTTGAATGGTTGCATATAATTTCAAGTCTCGTGCTCGTCCTTCGTTTACGTTTACATACTGTCATAATGTATATTTCAATAAAACCTATGCCTGTTCCTGAAGCTACGCAGCCACAACGTTAAACCCTAATTAGAAGCCTTAAACCCTAAAAATTAAGGTCCTAAATAGTCGGGGTTGCCAACCCCGACTGTTTAGGAAGGTGATTAAGCTGTTAATTACAAAATCGGGTCGGTTTTGATAAATAAAAAAAAAAACGGGTCGGTTTTAAGAAATTTTTTTTGGAGTGGGTCTGTTTTGAAAAATTCTTCTTCTTGATTCTACGTAGCATTTCTCATGGATGAAATAATTGCTCATCTTTTGGTACTTCAAAACTTCACCTCAATGCTCAGCTGCGTTTTGCAGTTCCTCGTAGTAAAAGTACTTATTTACTTTTATACCTCAAGAGTGATAACTCTTGCTATTTGTTAAATTCGCGCTACCGTCACATGATTTATGGTGTACAAACTTTTAGTAGTCACTTCATTTTAGTAACTTCATGTTTGTGTATTCACGTTATTCTTACCCGTGTAATTTTAGTTTTGTCCGCCACCTCACCCCCACCTCTCCTCGACAAAACCAAGTCTTTAAGTTTTTAATAGGATTAATTATAGTCTAGTGTTCTGAGGTAGCTTATATGCATGACTAGCTCTAAAGTTAGTGATTGCAGTAACACTAATAATTCCGAGAGTTGCTTGTCGTCTAGGCTTTGGGTCACCCTTCAGTTACAATTTATAATTTAATGGTTACTCATGTAAATACGTATGCTCTAGGTTTACCCGTGGAATTACATCATAGTGTAGGAAATGGGATTGTAATTGATCCTTTTTAATTTATGAGTACAGATTATATGAAACGTAAAACCAAAAAAAAAAAAAAAAAAAAAACAAACTTTATATGAAACGTAAAACCAAAAAAAAAAAAAAAAAGAAAACTAACTTGCAATACTGGATTAGGCCAGACGTCAAACTTTTAGAGAATTAAGCCCACATGTGCCCAAACCAAATTAACCACGTGCGGGAAAAAAGGCAGCAAGAAAAGGAAAAATAATTTCAAGTCCCCGCGCCCGCCAAAAATTTGGCTCCGATCTCTTTACTCCCGCTCTGTCTAAAGATCCCCAAATCCCATTCTTAAAAAAAAAAAGGGGGGGGAAAAGATCTCAATCACCTCCTCTCAAAAATCCCACCTTTCCCCCCTTTTTCCATTCAATCCGAGATCGAATGGACATCTCCAGCATCGCATCCAAGCTCGGACTTGGCTCCAACAAACCCTTAATTCGCAAGGCTGAGGAGCTCCGTCGATTATCCGACGTCCACTTTGATTCCTCAATCATCGGCGTTGTAAGTCAAAATCTCTATCTTTTTTATAGTTCCCACGCTTCTTTCATTAATTTTACATTTTTTTGATATTTCTTGTTTTGGAATGTTAGGGGGAGGTCTGCAAGGCCATCATCTGTCTTGAAATCGCAGCTACAAGGTAATTATATAAATGTTGGTTATGTTAGATACTTCTTTTATGATTAATTTATGATTTTTTTTGTGTTGGGTTTTTCTAGAATGCAGGTAATTTTAGATCGGCAGAGCGCGATTCGGATGAGTGGGATGTCGGAAAAGGCTTATGTGAGATCGTTCAACGCGATGCAGAATGGAATTGGGGTCAAGTGGGTCACTCTTTTTCGTTATTTCTGTGATGATTTTGTTGTTTCGAGACGAAATTGTTAAGATTTTGATTTGGGTTTTCTTTGTAAAAGGGCGAGCTTGGATGTTAGGGAGCTAGCGATTCAGTTTGGTTGCGTTAGGCTCGTCTCTTTTGTGCAGAAGGGATTTTCGCTGTAAGATCTCTCATTATAAACTTCTATGATTATCTTATTTATCGATCTTTATCTAGTTTTGTTCTGACTTCTTTCTTTAATCTTGTTAGAGTTGATTCCTGTTATATAACAACGGATTAATTGGTTTTACTGATAATTTACTCGTGGGGCTATAATTTTGGATTAATTGATCTCCCAGAATGAGAACGTATAAAAATAAACCTTCATGTTTTTTATAAAGAATCTACATTGTCTTTTTTACTTTCTTGTGTTAGTTTTGCTAGAGGATAGCTTGTTCTTGTTACTTTGTGGCAATGAAACTGTTTGATAAAATTCCTTGTTAGTCATTTGTGCTTTAGTTGTGCCTACTCAGCTACTCTTAAGAACAAGTTGGAGGCCTATCAAGAATTGCCAACCTAATCTCTTGTACATATTTCAGTGGTAGATAATGTCAGAAGTGTTCATTTAGTCGTACCTTTTGGCTGGGGGTAGTTTAGTTTTGCTCTATAGATTTGTTTATCCCTTTGGTCTTTCTCAGTTCAAGTTACCTTACGTATTACCACGGCAGAATTGTGTTGTTTATCTAGGTGAATATATTGTTATTTCCTCGATTTAACTTGTGATGGCTTTTTCCTTCCCTCAGATACAAGGATCGATTTCTAGCTGCCTTGCCAGCTTCTCGTAGGGCAAACACTGATTTCAATCGACCTGTATTCACTGCAGTTGCATTCTATTTGTGTGCTAAGAGACATAAGGTAACTATGGAGTTTTTTCATTTTCTCTCTTTTTTCCCCCAATGTGAATACCTTGCTTTTTACTAATGCATTTATTCCCATTTCTCAGCTTAAAGTAGACAAGCTAAAGTTGATTGAGCTCTGTGGCACTTCTGAGTCTGAATTTGCCACTGTAAGAATATTCAACATAGGCTTTACATCTGATATGGCTTGCTTTCTTGGTTTTCTAATCTTTTTGTAAGTCTATAACATTTATATTCTGATTTTCTTGCTACAGGTCTCCACTTCTATGAATGATTTGTGCTTTGATGTTTTTGGGATTTCAAAAGAAAAGAAGGATTCAAGGGCTGTTAAAGGTCACAGAGGTACATTTTTCTTTCAGAAAGAATCATTCATCTCATCATCTTCGTTGGTTGCCTTCCATTTGAGAATATTCGGTTTATATACTTCTTGGTATCTCTTTCTTCTGTAACACTAGGTAACTATTTCGATATGTAACTTGTGATTTCAGAGCTGTTGGATGCGTTGCCTGGCAAAAGGAGACGTGAGGATGAAGAGAATGATGTGTCTGAAGATTCCATAGACGACGAAGATGGACTTGAGGTAATTATTAGTGTCTCTCCAATTTATGAAATTTGAAAGACTTAGATGTGAAAATATGAATATCATAACATATATGGTATAAATATTGATACATCATTTCATGTAAAATACTCTTTTCATGCAATTGAAAGCTTCATGTGTCCAAAAATGATAAAGTCTCTCCAGCCTTGAATTTTCTAAACTGTTCAGTGGACTCAAACCAATGATCCCTATGCTAAATCCAAGTATTTTATGTGTAATTCTAGAAAGGCTTCTGATATCTAAGTTTGCTATTCAATCTGATCCCTTTTGCGCTGTGACAAGATACCATCAAATTCTAATAGACTAAATCTTTCTTATGTTGTGCAAGGGCTAACTAGAGACTTTGGAGTAAAATAGAACATACCATACGGTTATCGAATCAGTAATGCTTTAAAATCGCATAAAGACAGACTGCAGGAATTTTTTCAGCAATTCATTGTCTAAGCTCCTAATCATGTCACATGAAGATGTCTTACTATACAGATAAGATTCAGTAAAAAAAAGTATATAAAAATAAAATTTTCTGATCTAAATATATCGGTCTACTTGCAGCTTCCTAGCTACAAGAGGAAAAAGCAAATGGAGAAAAAGGCTTATGAGGAGTGGAAGTCCACTGTCACTTCCTCTAATAAGCAAAGTAAGACAGGTAGATCTCCACCCTCCTTTCTGTTTTTCTCACCAATTAAGCACCTTCTCATTTTCGAATTTTGAAACCAATTAAAACTTAACAAGCTTTAATTTTTTCTTATATAGCTCCTGCCAAGAGAAGCAAGCAAGTTAAGCCGAACTTTGACAAGAAAAACCCCTCAACAATATCAACGCAAGCGTGAAAAGACTTATTGGGGATGAATGCATGAAGCTTTCAATTTAATTGCACGGGCTGGAGATTCTTTTATCATTTTTGGTCATTGAAAAGATCTCTAATTATATGTTGAAGAGAACCTCCTTCGGTTTGTCGAATATGATACTTTGAAGACACTGTTCTTTTCAAGGGCTTGCGGTGAACTATTTTCAAAAGTGAAGCCTGTTAAACCTGTTTGAAGGGAAACTACTTGATTTCTATGCGCAGAATTTTCTGTTCTTGTGGATGAAGAGTTTAGCATTTTTGAGGAACTGTTTCCTAGTGATATGATAATGAAAAAAGGTGTAATTAACAATTCAAAGCTAGTATTTATTTTGTAGACTTGCTTGTTTATTACATATTATAGTTTCATTTTCTGAAGTATAAAGATCAATTTAAAAAAACAACAACAGTTGAGTCTGATAGTGTAAACTTTTGCTTAAATAAGAGGACCTAATTACCTACAGTTTGCGTATTTACAAGAGTAGCTTTGAATCGATTGTATCTGCTAAGTAACATTGAGATTCTAAGAGGGAAGAAAATAAACAGACTGAAGGGTCATCCATATAGTCACAAGTAGTAATTTCAGAATTATTCATATAGAATGCGTACATGCTTAGGCTGTAGTCACCAATGTAATTTCAACATATTGGGTACGCAAATCTAATTAATCCCAAATAAAAGCTGTCTATATGCAGCTTAGAGCATCTCCAACCGGGCGTCAAAAACTCATTTTGACGCTGCTTGCGGCCTCCAACCGGGTGCCTAAGTGGGCGCTATCTTAGTACGCTGCTATAGTGTTGCGCTCTCCAACCGGGCACCTAAGTGGGCGTTATCTTAGTGTGTTGCTATAGTGCTGCGCCAGGAATGGTGCAACGCTGTAGGAATGATGCTATTGAGTTGGGTTTTTTATTTTTTTGCTTTTGTTTTTTATATTTGTATTAATAATATATATTATTTTATATTAACTATTATGACATAAAAAGCAGGACATAAAAAATTAACACCAATTAGTTGAATTTATGAAAATGATATTTTAATTTGATTTAGCATTTAATGTTTATATTTTTATTTTATTTATAAAATATATTATAATAATTAATTATATGTAATGTATTATATAATTATATAATTTGTTAAATATCTTAAATAGATAAAAATGTTGAAAGATAAGAATAATAAAAGAAATATTCTTTTTGGTGTAAAATTTGGTGTAATGGGTTGGAGATAAAATAATAATTTGATGTAAAAACTACACAAACTTGATGTAAAAACTACATCATTTTAGATTTCTGGGTTGGAGATGCTATTAGCTCTAGTGTTACTAATAATAAAAGACTTCTTTTGAAAATTCAGAGGACAACGTCATAAATTGATCCCTGCTCTTCAAATGCAACCAACGGACGAGATTTGCCAAGAACCATCAAATCTTTCAATCCAACGGCCAGGATGAAACTGGCGGC